ATATGAAGATTTCACATATTGGAGAAAATTTTGAATTTATACTGTATATAAACCGAATTATCCAAGACTGCACGACAGCAATGTAATCTTGTCCGATGACTGATTTCTCACAAAATATTGTTTCACATAATTCAACACAATTTATTTTGTTCTAGGGACGACACATGCTTAAAGATGATTGGTCAGCTTGTCCGAGTTGTAATTTCCCTGCCTTGTATTCCGAGATAAAAAGGTTGGTAGAAATATCTACAATAAGTTTTACCTTGAGGCCATATTACACGAGGCAATTTTGCTGCAACTAATTGCAACGCAATTTCGATAACCGAGCCATGTTATCTAAAGCACAGTCACAAGGAAATTGTGAGTATTTGAACATATTCTTTGAGGCATGAAAGAAATTGAGGATGATTGGATGAAGAATGTCGGTAGTAAAACGTGGGGTTTTGATAACATCACTCTATCCAAAAGTGCGTTGCGAGTGGTAGCAACAATTTGCTCGTGTGACACGTCAAAATTAATTTGCAGAATCATCATTGTTAGCCTTAAGTGCTTAGTCTAAATATTATACCAAAATACTGATGTTAGGGACAGTGGAAGACACAGAAAGGAAATGTTATGCTTATTGCATCGCGTTAACCAGGCTTTAATCCAGACAACAACACAACGAAAGCTTTTCAAACCAAATGATATACCAATGTCACAATGACTACACCATGAAAAGTTCGTATAGAGCTATCAGTGATGTTTAGATTTGACTTCCACTGTTCCACTATGACCATTGGTCCGTTAATGGTAGTGGAAATCAAATCTAAACTATTATCTAGTGCCCAAACTGACCTAACTTGCGAATTTGCATACTCTGCTCTGCATGGTACACGCATAAAAACGCGACCAAGGTTATGCTGACCCTAAGAACAAGTTGTCAACAATGTTGTTACAGAGTTGTTACAACTGAACAATTCTGTAGCAACATTGCTGACAACATGTTCTGAGGGTGCAGTACAAACTTGTTCAAGCCTATCGACATCAACCGGGAACAGGTTGTTCGTTTTTACGCGTGTGCGTGATTGTGTAGTATAGCTGGGGTCAGTTGTATAAACCTCTGGGGCCAGTTGTATAGACCCTGGGGGCCAGTTGTTCGAAAGCGGGTTAGCTTAATCCTAGGTTAACGAAAAACTTCAAAGCAAACTTCCTAACAGCTTAATGGTTATAAACGTGGAAATATTTTTTTAGAAATCTTGTCAGGATCAATAGAAGTTTTATTTTCTAAAGTTTTGAAATAAACAGATTTGCAGTTGTATACCCAAACCAAAAACGCGGGTTAAGTTTTAACGAGGGTTAGTGCTAATCCAGCTTTGAACAACGCCCCCTGCAGCTTCAAAAATCATGTCAAGGATTATTAACGTGTCACGGATTAACGTGACATGATTTAAAGAAAATCATATAATGAAACACTGCCTCAACTTTTTTGTTTTCCAGTTTTTTAGACGGTGGGGAAGGTGTTTGTCCAATGTGCTCAGAAAAAATAAACTTCAGCGATGCAAAGTTTATCAAAGATCCTGTTCAGTATCTGAAAATCGATGAATCAGAAGCTTGAAATGAAACATTCCACAATATATTTCTTAGATTTCTTCGTTATTTATTAATAGTTATTAATATATATATAGCAAAAGCGCTTTCAGTTGTACATAAATGTAAATAGTGTAAATCATGTGACAGTTGTTTTCAGAGATTACTGTACATTCCAATTTTACCGGTAACACACGTGATCAACCTATAAAGTAGTATATTTACAATTTTACACTATGCAGTTCGGTCTGGTTAATCTTATATGTATAGTCTGGTTTTAATATATTAAAAAAACAATGATTAAAAGTGATTGTGCTTTTTCTATACATTTATACTGTACTTCAAAATTAAAATCTGTATACCGGTAATTGAATACCAGATCTTCATTCACTTTTAAGTTCAAAAGTGGAATATTTCGGCCAAAAAAGGTGGACGATGTATACTTGGAAAATCTCATATAATATACATGACTTGCAGTAGTTTTTTAATCTAAAGCTTGATTGCATGGGAATATTGGCAAAAGATGGACCATGTATACTGTGCGAAATACAGAATGTTTCGCATAAGATACTTGATCTGCAGTATATTCTTTATAGATTAAAACTTCAGTGGAATACTCGGCCAAAACACAGGATGTCTCATGTCTACATTCATGTTAAAGTGTAACTGTAGAGAAGTTTCTAAACTTTCAATATCGTGGGCTGATCGACCATACAATGTTTTCATTTCTTGAGTTCGTAAAACACCTTGTTGTTGTGTTGGCGGTACTGTCGTTGCTTCAAGGGCGATCTCATTCACTAAAGAAAAAAAAAATGCTTGTTTTACCAATTCCTAAAAAATATGCACCCTATAAGCACTGAGATATATACAGTATTAAACATTGAAGCACTATAATGAAATGGCTTCAGGTGCACACTCTGCGACGTCATCAACCTATATGAACAAGACTTGTTTTGTGATTGGTAGATTATAACAATGAAGCACAAAAACCTAAAAAATAAATTTTCTAGAACAAAGCATGTTCATTTAAGGTTGTTGCTTAATAACCCACACTCTCCAGTCAAACGCAAATATATTCAGAAAACATAATTGTACCCAGGTTGTTTATGCAGATTGGTGCCGCGCACCGGTCTAGTTGCTAAGATTGTAAGTTGTTATTTTTATTTACCTTCAATGTAATCATCTGTTCGTGCCTTCGCAACTTCTTCTTCCTTTTGTTTTTCTAATAAATAATAAATCAAATCATACAATCGAACCTAAGACACCTCGCTAACCGGACACCTCTCTAAATCGGACATCTTTCTAAATCGGACACTTCTGATTCGGATACCGAGCTCTAATTCGGACACCTATCTAAAGCCGGTTTTCCACTTCAAGCGTACAGTACCGAAACGTATCAAAAACGTTTTCAAATTTCAAAATTTCGTGAATGTTGATTGGTTAGTACTTCTGTAGTACGCCAAAAAGTTGACTTGTGACGAACTTTTTATTTTGTTACGCGAATACACCCGGAAGTACGTGGATTTATAAATCTCTTTTAATCTGCGCATGCTCACCAGTACGTTTCGGTACGATACGATACGGGCGAAGTGGAAAACCGGCTTAATTCGGACACCTCTCTAAATCGGGCACCTCTCTAAATCGGACATCTTTCTAAACCCGACCCTTCTCTTAAGGCCCATTTCCACTCAGGAAAATTTTCCGCAGAAAGAAAATTTTGTACAATTTGATTGGCCGGCACAAATTTTCCGTCGGAAAAAAATTTTGAAGTTGAAAATTTTCAACTTTTGACAATGATATTTTCTGAAAATTTTCTGTCCGTGGAAATTTTTCTTGAGTGGAAATGGGCCTTTAACCGGACACACTCTAACTCGGACACCTCTCTGCACATTGCGAAATTGTCTATTCGAAAAATAGTATACGAAATATACAGTCAAACTTCTCCTTATGGACACCTTTCTAACACGGGCATTTCTGTAATACAGACAGTTTCCAATGTCAGTTTCCAATGTCAGACTGCCTTCTTTCCCCCAAAACTGATGTACAGAATTTTAATTAGGATTCAATGTAGACTATTGCTGCACAGATATGTACAGTACCTGCATACATAAGATACAAGGTGTGCATCACAATGGGCCCTAATTCACAATCGCAAAGATAGTGTGGCAGCTCAGTTGAACAACAGACTGTCCAAAATTTGCCATTATGAAATGTGCATTAATACAGTAATCTGCATAGCGAAGTCACACATTTATGTTATTGTACATTATGTACTTCACTCACAGACTGCATAATTCCCCCAGCAAGTTAAGTTATGTATCATGCATTAATGAGTTAATTTCGCATACAGTTTACTCTGCCGGCAAAGCAAAACGAACTTTTGCTCATTTCTCATCCAATTGTCATCCCAATTTAACCAAAATTTAATCAATTTGTCCTTGGTAAATGTCCAAAAATTTGCGTGATAATACGATTGAACCTTTTTAAGTTATGATCATGCTAACAGACAAACAAACACACATTCTACCATTATATTAGAGCTTAGTTTAACATCTTAAGATTCGTTGACCTATGCCACTTCAGGTGAAATAATATTTTTTCACAATTCGTATTTTATATCGTTATAATTGGATGATATATAACTTAAATTATTAATAGTAATATACACATAACAAAACATGACTCGTCAATCACGACTTACAAATTTCACGAGTCGTTAAGTGTGACAGTATTGGACAACCATCCCTGACTGAGGTAATAACTTAAGCTCCTCGTTCCTTCATCTCTTCGAATTTTGGAAAAAAGATAACTTAAAGAATATTGTAGTTATTACTGAAGGCTGATTTCCATTGATGCGTTTTTCGTACGCATGTACACACACGTAAAACTTTGAATCCTTCTATTTTTTAAATATTTTACAAATAAGTTAACAAATGCATATTAAAACTTGTGGAACACTAAATTCTGTTGCTTTATTTATTTAGTTATTTCATAAGTAACATTTAAACGGATTTAAAGTTTTACATGCGTATTACGTACCTATGAAAAACGCAACCACAGAATAAGGTACACAGATGATTCATCATCAAAATGCTGACGCCATGGTCCTGCCCAGAGCGTTTGAGGGGCATTCCCCCCTGGGCGTTTGAATATTATCAGGAAGGTGAATGCCTCTCAAACGCGCACTGGCTACTAGGGCCATGGTGTCAGCATTTTTACGGTTACACCAAAATCATTGGAAAATCATACGAAAACCAAGAAGTCGGGCTTCTGTATGACTTATTCTGTGACACAACAGTGGAAATCAGCCTTTAGTCAATTAGATCACTGCAGAGCATGCCCATTATAAGCCTCATACAGTCAGATTTCCTCTCCAACATCAAAATGAACCTCCTCACAGGCATCTCATACAGTAGTTCACCTGGGCTGCTTGGGCCCCTTTACAAAACCCATCTACAATTTTTAGTCAGTACCTAGTGTAGATGTGACCAAAATCCTGATTTTAACCCAGTTGCTGAAATCAGGCCAGACTTTGTTTTGTAATTATAGAAATATGATAATTATCGAAATATTGAATTTACCGCAACCAGTTTATTGCTCTCTTTGGAGAAAATGTGCTTGCCCTCTACCCATGTCATTGAAATAAATTAATCTGGAAATCAAGTGCTGCATGCCGAGGAATGCCCCTATCATCCTGGCAAAAATTATTGTGGATATACAGCATGCACAAAATACAAATACCTGCCATACTGAATACATAAGTGCAAAAACGTTCCCCCTCCCAGTCCCTCCCCCCGTTCAATATTAAAAGCTTATAAATTGGTTAAGTGAAAGCTTGTGACTGATGCCTGTTAAAACCAACATTGTAGGGGGGAGACAAAAATGCCAACATGTGTATCTGAACAGTTAGTAATACTTTAGTTTATATCTAATTGTCCATGGATTTTTTGCCATGATTGTAGGTCTGGGTGCAGGGAGTCTGGGCTGTCTACTCCCATCTCACCACAAGTCTGTGATGAAATACATATGTTGAAGCCCCCAACTTACTTCTTTGTTCTTTATGTCTTGCTGATTGCTCAAGAAACTTTTTAAAATCATTGTTCAATTCCATTTCAAACTCATCATCATCGTCACTGCCTTCATAATCTGACATTTCTTCAATATCTTGTGACTTATCATTACCATCCATGCCATCACCATTCATTTCATGAGAATTAAATAGTGATAAAGAATTGGTAATAAAATTATTCGTACTAATACGAGAAGTGTTTGCCTGTCTATTTGTCAACTTATATACTCGTTCTTCTCTCAGTCGTTGCTCTTCAACACAAGTTGTGCACCATGTTGTTGTTGCATAATTATTTTCCACATCAGTTCTTCCACCCTGGTAAGCACCATGTTGATAATACCACCACCAATTGTACCACATGTTTTGAAAGTAGTTTTGTGTAGCAGGGTTGCGTTGATTTGAATGACCAAGATTTCCCCTACTTGGTTCAGATGAATTAATACAGCATTCACATTCCTTAGCTGACATATTTTAACAGAGTGTCTTATACTCTGGTCAAAACTGAAAGCCTTAATTATGGAAATACTGTTAAAGCACAGAATAAAGTTCTGTGGTTAAAGTCTGTAATATCACAGTTTCATCCACTTCATCCACCTTTTTATGACGTATCCAAGTTTATCGCTGGCTCAATTTCCATATTTCAGAAAACCAATTTATAACATTTTTCATAGTTTCAGGCATCGATATGATATCAATGGTTTCAGGTAACATTTTAACAGGTTTAAAGGTGAGTGCTTTTACACTACATTTCCAAAACCAGTTAAAACTTCACAATTTTAATAAAAAAGAAAATATTTAGCGCTAACAGCGCTTGGATAAGCTTATACAGGCTTATATGGCGTATCACACTCAGTGATGACACGTGTCATCACGTAATGCGGGCTCAATCACTTCGAGGACGACCAACTAACTAAATTTAATATACGAAGAACAACAAGAGAAATTCCAATAAATACTTTTTAGTTTCAAAGTTTTATTTCTGATGATCCTAACAACATGATGGGTCCATTGCCGTTAACGTGTGCTACATGTGGCAAAGAGTTCAAAAAAGTTTCGCGTCTGCAAGTGCATGTTCGAATTCACACTCAGGAGGTGAGGCAGTTGATACTTGATAGCAGCGAAAATTTCGATTATCTACGAGTCAAAGCTTTTGATTATAATTTTGTAGTTAGAACATATATGCTATATACTTATGTTTATTGTTTTCCCTCCGTGTATCTCTGTTTAAATGTTTAGAATTTTTATTTTCAATATTTTTTTATTCAATATTTGCTAATTTGCGCGCCCAATGACGTCGAAGAACGTTGATGTGACGTCCAGTCAGGCTACCAATTTTAATGGTAACCGGTCGTTTCGCCAACGAGTCGTTTCGCCAACTGTTAGTTCGCCAACGTCTCGGGTCGATTCGCCAACGTTTCCTCACGTTCTTATGTCAGTTCGCCAACGCAACGTTTAATCATGGATTGTAAAATAAACAATCCATGGTTTACAATTATTTTACAATCCATGGTCATTTAATAGTTCATGTCTTTATAATGTGAAACCATGAAACACAAACAATGTTTGTAGAAAATATGTTGGAACGTTGGCGATCAAAAGCATCACTAGCTGTGTCTAACCTTGGTTATTGTTCTATGCTCTATTGTGGAATTTTGTTAGTGCAGAGTATAGTTAATCTTCATATTGTTGTTTGAAAACTCTTCAGTTCTGTTACTTGAATGGTATATCATATGCATAAAAACTTTCACATTTCGTGAGTTTAAGGCCCTACGAAAAATTACTTGTTTAGCGTCCGCTGATTAAACCTGTTTTACACCGTCTAAAAATAAATATCGGGAGAATTCGCTATTTCGGTTATTCTTTACAAACATTAATAGATTTATATATCCATGTATGAACTATGTAACGTTGGCGAACTGACATAAGAACGTGAGGAAACGTTGGCGAATCGACCCGAGACGTTGGCGAACTGACAGTTGGCGAAACGACTCGTTGGCGAAACGACCGCAATTCATTTTAATACACGATTTTTCAATCTGGGTTGAAAGATCTCATCGTGCTGCTTTTTTGTTGCATTTACCTGGGTTTGACTGCAACACTCAGCATTTGTCTTCAATCCGGGTCAGCTTGAACCAAGTTACCTGAGTTGGCTATGCATGCCTCGATTGATTTTATTTAAATGTGACATCCAGACTGGAAAGTTTGGAAATTGCGCACCAGAGATTTCGAAAATTTAATAGTAAATACATAGAAAGCATCAAAATTGCGCGCCGGAGATATCCGCCGCGCGATACAAACTTTCCACACTGGTATGACATTTGGTTAAATCCCAGCGTTGCCATCGGAATCTCGAAAATGAGGCTTTGTAGCCAAGGTGACAACTTTTCTTGTCAAAAATCATGAAGTTTGATAAAAAATGCAGTCTGGTCTTTCATTACTTGCTATTGAGCACCAACACTTTACCCTTGACGAAGGCATTATACAGAGTAAAAATTAAATATTGTAAATATCTAAAACTTAAATTTAATTCTTATTTACATCATTCTGTTTTTTCCATTTTCTTCAGAAACCTTACAAGTGTTTTCATTGTGATAAGGCATTTAACACAAAAGATGAAGCAAAAAAGCACATGATTGCCCATTCCAATAATACTATTACATGTATCAGGTAAGTAAACAGTAAATGAAGAAATAACTTAAACCAACTGGAAAATACACAACCAAACAACCCCATTAAAATAGGTCTATAGCTTCCCCTGTAGGCAGACAAACCGAGAGAAAAAATGGATGCTTCTGATGAGCAAGGTTTAGAAAAACTAGTGTATTTCCAGCCTATATAATAACAAAATGTTGTGGTGAGCACATTTATTTCAAGTCCTTTATTTTTTAGTTGTCCTGCAGAAGGGTGTCCAAAGAAGTTCAAACTTGAGAGAACATGGAAACGACACTTTGAGAGCGCACACACCTTACACAAGGTAGTTTATATTATGGAAATTTGTGGGGAAATGTATTAAATCCACATGGGCAGTAAAAATAGATTAACCATTTTGTTGGGAATTTCACAATGACTTTTAACAACCCGGCAAACAAAACGAGAGAGAAACACCCTTTTAATTTAAAGTGTAAAATAGTTTTTAATAATTGAATCAATCCGCGGGGGCAATCCATCTTTTGGCACATCGTACTTGTCAAGTAAAATAACCTTTTATATCAAGCTCAGATATTTTGTCAAGTTGTACCAATTTTTATATCAAGTTTGCTTTTTTATATGCTTCTGATCAACTAACGCCTAGTGTCCCTGGACGGTAAAATTGGCGCGATGTTGCAAGTTATTAATTTTTTCTAAGTTCGCCTCCTGCAAAATGGCGCAGAGTGGAGTTTTAAGAAATAGATTTACAATTCCAAACCTTAACGACGTTTTCAAAATTTCCTTCGTGTCATGTACAGTACTGCCAAGAAATAACTTATCAAAAACCGCGTCCAAGACGCGGGTATCTTGCGTCCACTGTGCGTCCACGGGCACCCGCGGGTGCGTCCGTCCTGCGGGCGTCATGCGTCCGTCGTGCGTCCACTGTGCGTCTGCGGGCGCTTGCGGGTGCGTCCACTGTGCGGGCGCCATGCGTCCGCTTTGCGTCTGCGGGCGAGGACGCAGCTGAGAAAGAGTTCTACTCGTAGATCGTCGGAAATTATCGCTTTTCATAAACAAACCGTGGGCGTCGGAAAATATTCATGTTAGCGATTTCACACCACGTTTTTATGCTTATACACCAGCGTTACAAACGTAGAATCCTAGATATTTATATTTCTAATATTAAACTTACCGTGAAATTTCAGAATTTGTGCTTCGTAAAGTTCCTTTTCGTATTTGATCTCTACTTTCGCACCTTCGTATAACGTTTGGTTTAAACCCAGTAATCTTTTAACGTTTCCGGTTGGCAAAATGCACGTATGGTTTTATATTTTCTTCGAAGAAACCCAAAATACGTTTTGGTTGACAAGTAAGCGATCGATATCTCATTTTATTAGTCTGATACTAGTGATAGTAATACGGATCGAGTGATATTAGTCTGAGCTCTTCACTTCAGCTTTAGCGAATTATACTGCAACTTTGAAAATCAAGCGATGAGTCACGTCATTGAACCGTGTTGAAACACAAAGACTGTTTCCTGGACATGTAAAGGTATTCCATTAAGGGATTAAGAGAAGTCATTTATCCAGAAATTATATGGTAATTATCAATTTATATGACATATCACCATGTGCATTTACTGTTTTGGAAAAACAACACAAACTTGTTGCTGTAAATAAAATTATATAGTGGCTCGTAGTAATGGTATTTTATATGAAAAATCAAAAACACTATATATATTGTAAATGAGCATCTTCGTTTTAATATACTGACGAGTTACGGAGACATAACATTATTCAAATACAGAATTGCATATAAACTAATCGGCAATCTTCTACGAGGTAAGTCAGAATTTGAGTAGCAAATGAATGTGTTGCGAGATATATACTCGTTGTAGTTGTGATCTTACTGAGTTTAGTATATGTGTCTACATTATATTTATATATTGTTTATGTCTATTTTACGCTCCAATATACAGTCATATACGCTTCAATCTCGACTCAAGTATGTGTGATTGCATTGTGAAAGCACTACGCTTACTGTAGTATAACGTATAACATTATAAAATGGTTATACTAAGTGTAACGCTTAGGTTAAATGAAACTCGATTTCGGATTCAACTTTTTATTCTTTGCTTCTCCGATCAATGACACTGATCTGTATTCTCACGACAAACTACGAGTATGATGCAAATATTAGTTCGTTTTTCCGATTATGTTACGACGACTGCGTCCAAGCGGACGCAGTTTTTAACTAGAGGCCGGACGCGGGCGCTTTGGAGGCAGGACGCGGGCAGAGCAGACGCAAGACGCGGGCGTCGTGGAGGCCGGACGCGGGCGCTCTGGAGGCAGGACGCGGGCAGAGTGGACGCAAGACGCGGGCGCTCTGGAGGCAGGACGCGGGCAGACGCGGGGACAAGTTATTTCTTGGCAGTACTGTATATACATTGCCCCACGTTCGAGCAACACAGACTTGGATAGTATACAAATAATGAAATGTTTATGAGTGCAATCGTAAAAAATATTTTCATGAGGTGAAAGATGGAATTTTCCATTCTACCAGGTGACAGCCGAGCGTGCAATGATACACGTACCAAACACGTAGCATGGTAGCAAAATGGGAATTTTAATTCCATATCATGTGATCATAATCAGCCAATTAAATGGCCAGAATTTAATGGCGTTATATAATGTTGATATCTTTTGTGATGTTCGGATGAGTTCGTGAGCATCTAGTATAGTAAACATTAGGGTTGGGCGATATTAAAAAAATCATCTCACGATTATTGTCAAGGAAATTATCACGATATTCGATAATATCGCGATAAATGCAACAAAAACAATGACCCCTTTTTTTCAATTTTAATTAGTATCAAAGCATAGTAAGCTTATAGATAAGGTAATATGAAGGCTTTTTTTAGTCTATTAATATTGACTGTTCATAAACCATAACTGTCCATGCAGTGTCTACTGTGTCTCCGCTGGCACAAATGCCGTGGGCACACAGCGCAGGCAATTAGCAGATTAATATATAAATATCAGTTAGCTTTTGTATCGTATTAAATTCGTATAAAATAGTTTGAATTCTTTTAAAAACTATATTTCCAGGAATTGAATGATTTTTTTACGATTTTATAACAGCTATATGCACATGCGAATCATTGAGCATGACGATAATTTCGATATATTGTCCCTCAAGTTTCTACCTTCGATACGATAATTGCGATTGAAAATATCGCGATAAATCAAAATATCGAAATATCGACCAACCCTAGTAAACATCATGAACACACATCACCATTACCACAATGTTTTGAACAGTTAATGCAAATTGTCCGTAATACAGGTTGTGGGCCTATGATGCAAAATGCGCACAAAGGAAATTTTAAAAACGTCGTTAAGGTTTGGAGATTGGAATGTAAAATCTATTTCTTAAAAGTCCACTCTGTGCCATTGTGCAGGAGGGAAATTTAGGAAAACAAGTAATAAAACAACATCGTGCCAATTGTTCCATATTTGACAGAAAAATATTGTTTGTCAAAAAATAAATAATGTATAAAAAAGTGGTGCACTTACAAAATATTTGATATAAAAATTCGTTTTCTCAATGACATAGCTAATGTTTAACTTGATATAAAAAATTGTGTAACTTGACAATTTTTCACCTTCGGAAAAGTATATTTCAGAGGATGTAATTCCTTATGACCATCTTCCCAAAGTTGAAGCACATAATTTAGGAAACGACCACCTGTGAAATAAGAACATAAGACGTTGCGAGTGAATAGCTCGAACCGCTGCATGAGCCAGCGGGAGAATGAAAACGACGAGATGACTAGAAAACGCATAATCTATTCGAAACTGACAAAATGCATACATTATAATACGCTGCGATACCATTACCAAGAGCACTATTGACTGAGAGCCCTATACTGTTATTATAAAATAAATCTAAAACAATCATCCAGGGATTAGCACGGACAACCTGCACATATTAGTTCTTACAGTATTTTTTCTTTTCGTCTTAGTGTACATTTGATGGATGTGAATTGGCATTCAACAAGAAAAATAAGTTGAAAAAGCACTTAGAAACTCATAATGATGGCAGATACCTAAAGTATGACATCCTCCTATTAAATATTTTTCAATCTGAATAATTCAGAAGCAAGTTTTCCTAAACTTTATTCACGCTTCTTGTATTTTTTGTTGAAGGTGCACTTATGACGGATGCACATCAACGTTTTTGAGAAAAAGACATTGGTTACGTCATATAAGTAATCATGAAAAAGGTACACATACTATAGTATTATAAATAATTTGGGGAATAGGCGAGCACGCGAGCACTGCTCGCAGGAAATGTTAAACAGCTGCTGCAGAAAATTCGTTTGAATGCAGATTTACTATTGATAATTTGAAGGAAACCTTAACACCCATGTCCCACCATGGGCGCAACAACATATGGTTGAATTGACAGACATTATTCCTTGAATTTAAGGCCATACATGGTCAGCTAGATCTAGCACAAAAATACTCTGTTGGTCTGCAGGAAATTTTTGTCTCCAGGTTGTGCTCCAAGGAAGAAAATTCTTTTTTCCTTCTCTGTGTAAGATATGTAATATCAATGGTGTCATCCATACTTTCATTCTGATACCTCATGTATGTATACATCTCTTAATGATCCAACTGCTTTTTATTTGTATGTCATGCATTCTCAAACGGCACATTGTTTCTTCGGCTTTTCCTCCAAAGTTTTCTGATAGTGAAACAGGGTCTTAGCTAGGATTTTCGATTTTTGGAGTGTTTCTTAATTTCTAGGTAGTGTACCTGCCAATTTCCGAGAATAGCCCTAAGCTGGGCTAAGCACCACTTTTGATTTAGGCTTATATCTAAACATAAAAACATATTTGAGTAGCAACACTCTACAACTATTATGTAAATAATCAAGCCCCGGGTGTGATGTTCTGGTACTTCTTTGCTTTCAACCAAGTACCACGAAAGTACACGGAACTCTTGCTATCTGCGTACTTACTTTTTGCTTGTACCTTATGACGTTTCCAAGCCCAAGGTATTCAAAACTCTGGTAAACAAACCAATGTCATTTTCATGGACATATCAAAGGCATTCGACAAGGTCAATCACGCTGCTCTTATTAACAGAAACTAACTCAGAAACTACAATATTAGTGGATCTCTTCTCGATTGGTTTTCCTCCTATCTGTACGACGGGTAACAGCGCGTTACTACTCTCCGATCCTTTTCCTCCTTTATGTCAATGACCTGCCTGACGTTGTTAAGAATTCTACAACTGCATGTTTTGCTGACGATACAACGAGCGGAACGAATCCAAAGAAGAGCCACCACGTTTTTGTTGAACCTTCCATATTTATGCAACGAGGCTTACCGTGAAAGGCTTCTCAAGTTATATCTAATGCCAATATCGTATTGGCATGAATACATGGACCTTGTGTTCTTTTTTAAAGCTACCAACAACCTTCTAAATTTTCCAGAAGAATGAAGATGTTCTTCCTCAACAGTTAGTTCCAACGAGAGTAACGAGATCATCCGGTTCTAAAGGCATAACGTTTCTCTAATAGATCTCTGGACTTACACGTCGAACGTTTTGCCAAGTACAGTAAATAAACATGGTGTTTTCCAGAATACAAAAAGTTATATTAATTAGCATGTAAACTACAGTTTAAAGAACTTACGATATTGTTTTTGTTTCTAGAGTTCAACTGCACGATTTTAGGCTGTGAGGTGGTTGTCAAATCGTGGTCGGAATTTAGAAAACATCTTAAAACACATAAAAGTAAGTGTAACCAATGGCAATATCTTGTCAAGTATCCCGTAGTTTATTAGTTGTTTAAGGTAGTAGATGCATTACGTTAAACCATTTTTTGTATCCAGTAACAGATTTGTACAATATTTGAACTTTTATGCAATATTGACATTAACACCTTCAGTACGGTAAAACTTTCGGAAAATTGATAATAAATATTATTCATCATAAAATACATGTTATGCACTAGATAAAACATGAGCAGCCGATCTGTATCTGATATACAAACTCGAGCCGAAGGTGAGAGTTTGTATATCAGATACAGATCGGATGCGAATGTTTTATCGTACTTAAAAAATGACCCATCTTACGAGTTCATTGGCGAAGTAATTTTAAAAATAAACATTGTCTAAGCCGAGAAAATCAAAGCTGAAGTTTATGTAAATCAGGACAAATCTTTATCCGATTTACAAACATTGATTAAACATTCATTTCTTTTGAATTTTCCTCGTGAATTATTAATGATTTTTTAAGTGTGATTTAAGTCCCGATATCGTCAAAACTATATAGCGACAAAATTAGCCTTGGTAACATTTCAGGATACAAGCTCTTTAGCTGTTCGAGTTGTACGTTATACTAAGATCCCGTTTACACGGTACCGGACGAATTTAGGACCGGTCTGAAATTCGTCCCTTTCGGCCGTGTAAACACACGAGAACTACGGAACTGGACGAATTTGAGACCCCTACAGGACGAATTCGCGTGTAAACAGGCGAAAAAGGACGAGTTTCAGACCGGGCCCAAATTCGTCCGGTACTGTGTAAACGGGGTCTAAATCACTCACCCGTGTACAGTATTTGTGGGAATCCAAACGGAATTTAGTAATGTAAGCATGTTGTATCTTTTGTTTTCTTTAGAAATACATTGTAAAGAATGTGACGTTGTCTGCCCTCACGAAACTGCGGTAATTCAATATTCTGTTTCAAACTGTTTGTAAAGAGTATATCACTGTACTTGGGGCATTGCAGGATCAAACTACTTAAGTTCTTGCAGGGGTGCATATTGTTACCATTTGCTCTTCCTCCGGGTGTGTGGAGAAAGAGTCAGGGATTTGGGGAAGAGAGTGACCCTGAAAGAGGAAAAAGCAGGGAAGAGGGAGAGAAAAGTAACGGAAATTGATGGAAATATGATTTTCAATAAAAAGTTGGATTTTTCTTTCAACTATACAATTTTTGTTCTGTTTAGGGACCGGTCATAAAGTAACTGCTAGGGTGGGCTGGAGTGATTTGGGATGGGCCATGGAAACTCCTTGGGCAGTTTCGATTAGTACTAAAAGTAAACAAAACTGTCCAAATTATCAAATGCAAATGATGCTATATCGAAGCCCGTACTTTGTTTTATACAGTACAACAACAACAACAACAACAACAACAACAACAACAACAACAACAACAACAACAAGTGGTCGAATCACAGCAAATACAACCAACTGGAGAGCAGCTCAGTATCGTAATTGGTGATGAATGTGTTGGTCAAGCTTGGTGGAATTATGTATGTCAATACAGTGCCGGTGTATATTTACAATGTTCATACCTGCAAGTTTTTTTATTATAAAAGTGTATTTTCCCAATTTAGATCGGGTGGGATGGGTCATGAAATAAATTTGGTAAGATTAGATGGGCTTTGAAATTTTTATCTACATCCTAAGATGGGTCACGAAAATTATTGGCAAAATTTGTGATTTACCTTCAGCCCACCCTAGCAGTTATTTTATGACCAGTCCCTTACAAGATTTCACTCTCGACCTCCAGAATTCAATATTTTTCTCCCAAGTTGTGCAGGAACCAATAGCATGATGAAATTATTGGCGTCAGCCTCACCACTGGTCAAATGGACTTTAAAACCCAAGTATTCGCTACTCCTGATCAGTCTTCAGTTATCATTTTTTTCCTGATCGCTCCAGGATAGGGAAAGAAAATTACCCTTCCAGAATTGTAAGAGGGGAAAAGTAACCCCACTGGTGTTTATATACACCCATGCGTTCCTGTTATATGTTACACTGGAACCTCAAATTCGGCCTAACAGCTCGCGTTGTGTAAACGAACTCTAAGGCTATGTTTACATTGTATCGGATCGGTTTTTGCTTCGTTCACGAAACGTTACGGCCCAAGTGTAAACAGCTTCCGCCCTCGCCCATCTAAATACAAAAATATTATAAGTGAGCAAGCTATACCCGCAAATAAGATTAGAATAGCAAGTTTTTGTTTCCCAGATGCCATCTTGAGTCACGCGTTGAACTGAAAATTGCTCCGATTTGTGTTTACGTTACAATGAGAGCGTTGCAAAAACCGATCCGATACACCGCGCACCACTTCGAAGAGCGAACCGCCGCACCACCGGTCCGTTGCAGAAATTGAGACGATAACAACATTTCATATGTAAACAGAAGCCCTATCCGGTATGGTTTTTGCGTCGGACGCAAAGTGATCCGATACAATGTAAACATAGCCTAAACTAAGCTTCCATTGTCTATACTTTGTACCCAGGCTCCTTGGTTGGCTGCGTGGGCAGCGGGCGTAAGACACGTGACTGCGCTACTCGGAATTCCGTGGTTGGCGCCGAATTTTGCGGGTTTTTTCTTGTGGCAAACAGTGTATAAGCGCCCTGGTTGCAGCATGCAAACCAAAGCTCTTGGGCACAAGGCAGACAAGTGATGCCACAGCACCTCGTTTTGTTTATTCTACTAAACTTAGTTATATACTTAAATAACAGTTGTATCTTTTATGATTTTAGTTTAAAAATCATTGTAAAGATGCACATCATTCACCCAAACCAACGATTTATTGTCCTTATGAAGGCTGTTCTAAAACATATAGCAGGGTAAGTGTCTGTTTATATCAAAACACGAGTGATAGAACTCATGAACTTAAACGAACGCTAAGTGTATATTAGAGTTGCACCACCTGCATAATAACCTCGTTTAAGCCACGGATTGTGCCACACCACCATAACACCAACAACAACAACAACAACAACTAAAACAATTCTAAAAACGACAATAATAACAACATAAACATTGTCAGTAACAATAACTCATGCTTCAGCAAAAACTACATGTACATTCAAAATTTGACGTAGATATCCTTTCCAAGAATTTGATTGGTGAGCCAGATGATATCATGCATGTTCAGAAAAGTATATTTTATAAATTGAATGAAATTTATTTGATTAGTGAACGAATAAATCTGTGAAATAGTATATACAGCAATGAGCGGTCATGTTGTCTCGATGAAACTTTCGTATTCTTCGGTAATCCTAAATACGTGAATAAAAAAAAAATAAAAAACATGAAGGATATTAGGTGAGAAAAATAAAAAAGTGTGAATCTGAAACACATCTTGCATCACTAGTAATGATGAAAATCCGCGCTCACAGATCGAATGCTTTGCAATTATAATTCGACAAACGTAAACAAATTTTAAATATAACCTGGACAATTGCTTAAAGTAGTTCTCCAAGAAATGGTATTTGTTATTCTCTAGGGGTCAAATCTCAACCAACACATTCGTACTTGTCATAACGGTCGGACATTTGATTGTCAAGTGGAAGGATGTGGCAAAACGTTTCGTCACAATGTAAAGTATTCCCTTACATTCATTCATGCTTCATCTTATTTAAACTTTAGCTCATTAATTCTTAAAATTAACACGGTGTATAGTTTACAGACTATGAATATTGTGTATCTTTTACAAATATTTTCGACATTAATATCGTGTATATTTTACAGTCAAGTTTGAAAGAGCACATGGCTTCACACGAGGTAAAATATATTCTTTTTATTTACTTCATAAGATGAACTCTTCTTATCAACTTTTGGTTGCTTTCAATTTACTATCATCAATTTTTCGGTTGCCGAAAACGTACGATCGACAATCTATTGGTGCATTCACTCTAAAAATATACGAAATTACACCGCCTTCTGTAAAGTACGTCATCTCGGCTATATAGAGTCTCGTTTTCGTGATTGAGACGTTGGGCTTTCGGTATTGAGTTGGCCTGATAGGTTGTAATTACATTATGTAAATTGGGTTTGGAACACTCACTTGCAGATGCATGTGACTTGATGAAGGTTACTTGCTGACATATACTGTCGTCTTACAAATGACGTACTTTTTTATCTTAAACTTCATCTCAATTGGTATGTTTTAAACGCAGCGAAATAACAAAGCACGGCTTAGCGCTACCTGCACGAGCATGGACAAAGCTCAGGTTAGTCCTACAGTACATGACCTCCAAGGAAACGGAAACTGGCTAAGAACTTACAGAATTCATACACGTATCTTCTGATGTTTCACTCCTATTTTATAGCTTTGTCCATAGGCATTTTCAGCATTAAACTTCTGTTCTGTTCTGTTCTTAAACCAGATGTTGCAGATAATGTTGTGTGCTTTCATGTAATTTAAAATTGAATCAGTTGTTTTAAGATAGATCAGAGGTGTAACCTAACACTTGCCCGGGGCAAGTGGATATCATGACGGGCAAGTAAACGTTTTATCTTGCTTGCCCGATTGGGCAAGTTGCCTTGCCACAAAAAGCTGGGCATCTTTAAGTTTATGTTTTCATTGTCGGATAAATTTTTTATAGTACATGTACTTGATTCAAATTTTGTTTTTTTGTGGGCCAAAGCTAGATCTGAGGCAGTATATAACATAGCCATATAGAGCATTGGGAGAACGGGTCCACATGTTGTCCCCTTAATTTATACCCCCTACCTAGGCACCCCAGTGGCCATGGTCTGATTGGCAAGTGAATTTTATTCGGGGCAACTAATTTTCATGTCCAACTTGCCCTGAGGGCAAGTGGTCAAAAAAGTAAAATTACACCACTGTGGATATTGTACTGTAGATTGGTGATGGCTTTCTTTTACCCGAGATGAAAGTACGAATCGGAATGTGTATAATTTGTTTAGTTATCGTCTTTCTTTATACAGGCTGGAACTAAGAAGACCAAGAGAAAACGTAAAAGAAAATCTTTAGCTGCAAAACTTGCGAGATATAACGGTGAGCTTTGTGATCTTCCTGTAACCTATGTGGACCCAAATGACGATAACGCCTCAGTTTCTGATGAAATACCTAGTCAAGAATGTTATTATGTTTCTATGGATTCTTTATCTCATAAAGGAGACAAAGAGGAAGGAAAGTCCGTTGAAGATAAATCGTCATGTCCAAAACGTGTACCAAAAACTTTAACAGAACGACTACAGATGATTATAAAGGACAGCCAATACCATGTTAACGAGTCATGTTCCACTGAAAGTAATTCGGAGAGCAATTTATCAAAAGAACATACACAGGTTTTAGAATGTTCTGCGTCTTCTTGAATTTGTAACCAAGGTTGTGAAAATTTTGTTTCCTGCGAACATATTTTCCCGGTATGAACATAGCGATTAGAAAAAAATGGAGAGGGGGATTGCGGGATAAATAAATCGATATTTAGAATAAACTTGCGACCAAGTGGCCTATTGCGACCAAGTGACGCAGCGGCCTTTACAGTTACACTAGTTTTGCATCAATTCCACATTTTCAACACCAAATTAAAAACAAATTAGATCACATATGAATATTTTTCACCTATATAAGCATGCCGTATAAGCTTTTTGTTACTAGAAGATTCAATTACAGTACATCCGGGATAAGAAAAATTTGGTTCCCAGGCTCCATTAGCAAACTTTTTCCTTAATTTATTCCGCAACGCCCCCAGAGAGCTCAACCTCGCACCCAGACCTTTTCCTCTGACGCTCCTACCTCAAAGAAAGTGTTTGTGTACCAGGTTGTATACTCTACATAGTATTTATAGTACCGTATTCAGTCACTGGTAAGCTTGATATGCTCTCAACCTGAAAGTTGCACAAACAAACCAAGTCTTCGTAAGTGTTCCATAAGATAAAGACATTTCCGCTTATGTAGATATTGTACTACGCTTATATATAAATTATGTTTCGTTAGACTGTTCCATGAATAACTGTTCCATGAATATGTCATATTAAGAATATATATGTCGTGTTACCTGGGGAATTTGTGTACTATATGTATACACCCTTCCAGAAAGTACGTCACTTTCGCTATATAAATAATAAAGGCTCATTTTCGTGTATATGACATTAGTTAAAGCCTAACGTGTCAATCACGAAAACGCGGCTTGTATAGCCAAGGTGACGTACTTTCCGGAAGGGTGTATTGATTCTCATACATCGCGTAATAATAATTCCTGTAATAAAGTAGTATAAGAATTTGTATCGACCGAATATTACTATTTCAAGCATTGAAAAATCGCTCGTGATGGTACTCGTTGTCCTCATGCAGCCAGTACTCATGAAATATTGGTAACATTTATACGCCGGGATTTTAGTGCATTTCACCATTTGTCATTTCAAATTGTATGATTTTACAAATTCGTCATGTTTACTATTGTACTGCTGGGTTAAACATATATCTTGTACAGTTTATTATACAAACAACATCAAGTTTCATCTTGTTTTTAAGGTCTTTTCTTATTCATGATAGATTTGGATCGTGTTGATGGCACTGAAGTTGTAAGATTCTTGGACGTTTTCAAAGCTCCCTTTCCTTGACGTGTTTGAGCATTCTGTTTGGCAGACTTTGCACTTCGGTTCGCTGCAACACGATTCTGTGCTGTTATTTTCGCTGAAATAAATATAAATATGAAATTGGATTGTAATACTATATAGTACTATAGTATAGTTAGTGTGAATGTGCCTATCGTAATCAGCTACTGTCGGTCATAAATTTCATAACCGCACGATCTTGGAAAGCTTGCATGGTTACGAAATTACAGATATTGAGTTCACAAAAGCTCACAGTATTCGAGCTACGCATACAGTGATTGACCATACACAACAGTGATTGACGACTTATAAAAAGTGATTGACGACGCATATAAAGCTTACCTATGAATTCTGGGTTAGATTCTTCCAATCCGTTTAATAGAGGTGTATAGGACTTGAACACATGACTTGTTGTGATGTCAAGATGTCCTTTAAAATAGAAGCATTTACAAGTTCAAGCTGACTTAAGTATATTATTAACACCAAACTTTAGTTTGAACATTCTCGTATGGCATAAATTTAGCGTTACGCCGTTAGACTACGTTCACACGAGATCGGACGAATTCAGAAGTAAGTGTGTGTGGGGGGGGGGGG